TGATTTTCTCATTAATTTGCGGCATATATCTAAGAAACTGCTGATTTTGGAGAAAAATCACAACAAAGAAAAATTTCCGTAACGAAATTGCCTATAATGGACAACTGTCTGCAAATCACCAAATTCATTTTTTCCATTGCAAAAATGTAAAAAATTACAACAAATCGTAAAGATATATATTAACTTGCGGATTTATTTTCATATACTTACGTTACTCCTACGACCTTCATACTTGTCTAATGAAAACCTTTTAGTATGATAAATATCACACTAAATTTCACCTGGATCGGATTTATAATTTATGCATAATAATAATAATAACAATTTACGCTGTCTGAAAAGAACTGTCAATGTTCAGATTGTTACTGAGGCTAAAGAAAAGTATTTTAAGACGTGTAAATTTTTTGACATGCAGAGGGTTTCTATATTTTCGAACACATTTTGCCAAATTGTAATCCGTTGATTTGGAGAGCCTAGGGAATTGTTTAAAAACCTGGCAAATTTTTNAATTACTTTTGGAGTTATATATATATTTTTCAAATGTAAGCACTGTATATATAATCTCTATGTCTTTTGATAATAAGCATATACATTAATTGTGTCATCAAGGGAACGATAGGCTTTGTAGCAATAATATTTGGTATATTGCTTTGGTAGTATCTGTGAGAAATGTTTTATTTATTTTTGTAGTTTTAAGGAGATCATGCTTTTGTAGTTTGAACATAAGATAATTAAAAAGCGAATATAAGTGGGATATCGATACAAAGCTTGATGCTATTATATTGTAATTTATACTTATAGGATAGGGAGGAAATTATTTGAGAATGATGCTTTATCGTGTTAGTAAGAAAGCTACATACCCAAGACTTGAGAATGTCTTACTTAAGGTTATAATAAACAGATTAACATAACTATTCTTTGTAGGAGGATTCATTTATATAGTACCCACTATTTTCTTTTTAGTTTTTTTGAGTAAGAAGTATTAAGCAAAAAAATTGGTACGTCTACTGATGCACGTGTAGTAGAAGTTGAACTTCTATATATATTTTAGCTTGTAAGTTTATCATTATCATAAGGTCGTCAGTCCTAAGACTGGTTGGACATGCACCTGCTCCAAGCAACAGAAAAACAATGACTAACAACAATGACGGGCTTTTGAAAATAAAATAAATAAATCATAAAAATTCTCAAGATATCGGTTTAAAAAAAATTATTAAAACTGGTTCAGTAGAAGCAAAGAAAATGAAAGTCCTTTTAAGTGTTGGGGTTCTGAACGTTGGATTTTATTGTCTATCCATTGGGGCCGTGCCACGCTCTAAGCTCCCTCTCTAAGCTTTCCAGGGTTATCGAATAACATCGAGCTGGTTTGGATTATTGTATTAACAGTTTAACGGGGTTGTACATGATCGCTATTACTGAAAATTCATGTATTCTAAGTGCTACGACTAATGAGTCCTTGGCCAAAAAACAGTCCTTATATTTTTATTGTAAATTGAGTTCAACATTGCGCTGTTATAACTCCGATCCAAATTAGTGTATCACAATAAAGAAGCGCCTTTCCGAGTACATTCAAAATGTGTTTTGAAAATTAAAATTGGTCCAGTATTTGCAAAGTTATTGCATTTGTTTATAAGTTAAAAAAATTGCCAGATATTTAAACAATTCCCTAGACTCTCCAAATCAACGGATTACAATTTGGCAAAATGGCTTCGAAAATATAACTGCCCCTTTCCATGACAAAACATTTGCACGCCTTAAAATACTTTTCCTTGATCTCAGCAACAATTTGAACATTAGTGTTTCTTTCACCCAGCGTAAATTGTTATTATTATTATGCAAAAATTGTAAATCCGATCCAGGTGAAATTTAGTGTGATATTACCATAATAAAAAGTTTTCTTTAGCCAAGTATGAAGGTCTTAGGAGTAATGTAAGTATATGAAAAGAAATCCGCAAGTAAATTTATATTTCTACGTTTCTGATATGGAAAAAATAAATTTTGTGATTTCTTTCGTCTTTCATCCATTACAGAGGCGTTTTTAAGCATATATATATATATATATATATATATCGCCTGGACTAGTATAGATATATAATAGTTGACTTCATTTAATTTAACTACATTTGCAATATATCACCGAAGAATTTATTTGTTCCAGATTGAACTAAAAGAAAAATAACAATAGTAGATGTTGAACTTACCTAACATAACCTAACCTAACCTAAAGACTTTTCTAATCAATATAAAACTGATGATTGTTTTGTTCCACATCGAATTAAATATATAAGATGAAACAAAATTAATTTTGTCACCTTTTTATATCCAACACGAGAGGTACTTGTACTTACATACGTACGTACAAATACATGAATTTTTATTAAAGTTACGTTTTAAGTTTTCATTTGATATTTAACAGCAAAGTTGAAGTATCGCTAACAACCTCTACGACAAAAAGTTTTAACGCCAGGTTTCGATCCTTTCTGTGGATTTCAACGCAGGAATAATTGCCTTCAGAGGTATTTTCAAATGTCATGGTCCGCGAAATGCAGAGCGGGGCGAACTTTGTTGCATGCATATTATACATTTCAAAAAAATTGACTCGACGGGTTATCTAACCGCAACCAATGACGGATAGACGACTAATTTTTTTTTTTTTTGAGAGAAGTAGATATCAAGGAACAGGCGGAATTGTTTGTATAATTGTGTGGTTTTTGAATTAATTGGAGTACAGAAGATTAAGAATGGTACTTCTTTACAGCAGAATAAAGGAGCTATAGTGCATTCTCACTGTTAATGTCTGTATCCGCCAAAGCAATACCCTCAAGACATTGACGAATATTGTAAAAATATTCTGCTGTATATTTTCACTTTTAATTTGTATCTTATCATGTTCTTTCAAAACCTTCACTGTATGCAGTTGCGATATTGATATAAAATAAATAGTAATTCCATGAAAGGTATACATAATGTCCTTACTCCTATTTGAAAGGATAATTAAGATATTGTACTAAGTAAAGTTCAAGGCAATTAAGGGTTGGAAGGTAGAACCTACCTTGAAAAAAACCTCCCAAGTTGAGGCAAAACGTCGGTGTTGGTTCTTCATAAATAAAAACCTACCAACCCTTAGTTGCCCTGAACTTTACTTAATATTATCCAAACTAAGGGATGAAATGGAGAATATATTAAGATACTGTAGTTCATTCCTTACCGAAAACTCGAAAATGAATCGGACCGGCAAAGTAAATGTTAAGTGGAAAATTACTTTTGGAGTTATATATATATTTTTCAAATGTAAGCACTGTATATATAATCTCTATGTCTTTTGATAATAAGCATATACATTAATTGTGTCATCAAGGGAACGATAGACTTTGTAGCAATAATATTTGGTATATTGCTTTGGTAGTATCTGTGAGAAATGTTTTATTTATTTTTGTAGTTTTAAGGAGATCATGCTTTTGTAGTTTGAACATAAGATAATTAAAAAGCGAATATAAGTGGGATATCGATACAAAGCTTGATGCTATTATATTGTAATTTATACTTATAGGATAGGGAGGAAATTATTTGAGAATGATGCTTTATCGTGTTAGTAAGAAAGCTACATACCCAAGACTTGAGAATGTCTTACTTAAGGTTATAATAAACAGATTAACATAACTATTCTTTGTAGGAGGATTCATTTATATAGTACCCACTATTTTCTTTTTAGTTTTTTTGAGTAAGAAGTATTAAGCAAAAAAATTGGTACGTCTACTGATGCACGTGTAGTAGAAGTTGAACTTCTATATATATTTTAGCTTGTAAGTTTATCATTATCATAAGGTCGTCAGTCCTAAGACTGGTTGGACATGCACCTGCACCTCTTTCCTATCCTAAGCTAATCTTCACATCTCCCTAAAACTAGAACAACCCACATCCTTAACTATATGCGAACAGTAATTTAATTTGGGTCTACCTCTACCCTTCCTAACTCCCGTTTCTGCCTCTAATATGTCCCTAATTAGACCTTTATGCTTGAGAAGGTGTCCTACTAACCTATCTCGCTTATCTTTATTGACTTCCATAGAGTCTTCTGTTGTCCTATTTTTTCTATTACCTCTTCATTTCAAACCTCTATCCACGGTATCTTCATCATTCGTCTGTAACATCACATTTCGAACGCTTCTAACCTTTTCTTTTCCGTCGCGCCCACTGTTCATGTTTCATACCCGTACATCGCCGCGCTCCAAACATACACCTTTAACAACTTTTTTTGCATTTCTAAATTAACCGTTCGCAAGCATAGAAGTGATTTCTTTTTGTTGAAGGTAATTCGGCCCTGCGCTATCCTCTGCTTTATATCCATACTACTTTTTCGGTTCTGATTTATTTGACTTCCTAGATACCTAAAATCGGCCACTTCTTCTAATTTTTCGTCTCCAATCTTTATATTCGCTCTTTGCCTACTCTTTCTTCCCTTGCATACCAGTGTTTTTGTATTTATTTTTATACAATATTGTTTTGTCAATACTGCTTCCACCTTGCTAGATGACACTACTGCTATACCATCTGTAAATCTAAGTATATTAGTCTTTTGATCCTCTATTTCTATCCCTATAGTTGTACTGTCTTTAATGATGTTGATCGTATCTTCGATGTATAGATTAAAAAGTAGGGGTGCTAGCGGCTTATTATTATTTAGATAATCTCCTTAATAGTGAACAGCAGCTACCGCTGAGACTACGCAACATTCGTTTTACGATAAAATTTTGCTCTCAAAAGAAGTAAAAAATCAAAGAAAATTTAATTTCGCGTGACTGTCTAAAAATAACTTTCGTTTTATATTTTGACATCTACTCATTTAATCTATCTAAACAGCGAAACAAAGCATTACACAACATTTATTAAATATATTAAGTGTTAATTAAGTGAAGCGTTGCGCTTTTGTACGTTTAATTATATGTTCTAAGCAAGCATTCCGTAAAGGAATTAAAAAAAGCTACAAAAAGTCATTTTACCTTTACTGAGAAGCCAGTGAGCATAAAGAAGAATGTAATAAGAATCGTCGCTGTTGACGGAGACCACTTGTTCCAGAAGCGGCCCTACGCTCAAATCAGACGATCCTTTTAACCGAGCGAGCTCGAGGTAAGCGAGAGTGAAGGTAGGATCGAGTTTAATGCATCTCTTGAGCATGTACGTTGCCTCAGATGTTCGATTTAATTTTCTGCAACAAGATTTTCTAAAGGAGATTTTAAAAGTAAAAAGATCCTGGATTATTTGCTTTTTAAAATGGTAATGAGAAAAATAATTGCCAACTATTTTAAGAAATTATACATTTTTTAGTTAGAACTGTACATGAAAAGAACAACAGAAGGAACCAATGTGGAATTTGTCATATTGTTAACATTTATTCTAGTTATTTTAAAACATTTCTTTGTGTTGCTAAAGCGACTGCTTCTTACATCAATTTAAGTGGAACGATATAGAAGCTAAAAAGAGAGATTAACGAGAATCTATGGTGGTTAATTAAACAATGTCTGCGCACGAATGTAGGTATTGATTATAGAATTAATTAAGTTAGAGTGTAAAGATATCCAAGTGTTTTTTATGTATATTTCGGGTTAATAATCTAAATCTAGGTTAGATGATTAAACCGAAAATATACATAAATATATATATATTGTAGTGAGCACGAACGACTAGCCGCGGGCGCCTTTCTTCATGTGCGCCGTATTTGTAAATGTGTGTGTCGTACCTGCGTTCTGGGAAAGCAATTAAACAGTTCAAAGAAAAAGAATTTTTTTCGGACGGTTCGAGAAGGTTCCCGAAAGGAAACAAAAGAGTATTTAAAGGAAGAGACGATCGCCGAAGAGAGGAGAAATAAATTGACCGTTGTAGAAGTGAAAAGGAGAAATAAATTGACAGCGATAGAAGTAGAATAAATAGCGCAGTGAATAGTGATATATCAACAGTAGTGAAAATAAATAGAATAATCCATAACCTAAGTTTAATCATTTAATAGTGTTTTATTTCTTTAATAATTAGTGTAAATACATCGTTTTTGTCGTCATTAGTCTTGGAAGTTAATTTTGTTAAACCCACGAACATTTATATATAATCAAGTGCTTGAATAATTCAATTGGATTATTCCCTAAATAAGTGCTCTATTCCAAAGGTATTTTATGCTTAGTTAAACCGGTTTGATAATTCAGTGGCGGTGGCGGTGGAATTTTCATACCCCCATTTTTAAGTCATTCTCCAAAATGCTCCAAATACAGTATTTTTTGCATGGTATTACGATCAATGACCATGACTTTTATTTACAAAACAATTGTTTAAAATATCTTCTCCTGATTTTTTCATGTAAATTCTTTGTAATTTGGCCATTTTTAAGAAAAAAAATTACGTTTTCGAAAAAGCCGTCATGTGGGAGTTTCGCCATAATTTCATTTAGTTACACTAGTTCTTCCCCCCTATCAGTCACTTTGAGCTCGAAACTGTTAGCACCATTGCTTCGAGTGGTCGCAATTCACTTTTGTAAACAATTCACATTGTTTGTGTTAAAAATTGTTTGAAAAATTAAATTTAAAGGAATTGTTTGTAAATAGGTATGCAACACACTGTACACTTTAGCATAAGAAATTGCTGATCCTTTGCCCTGTGCTGACTGCACTCATATTTTTTTTTTATATATAATATT